GAGAGCGAGCGAGAGAGAGCTGCGCACGTGAGTCTCCTCACCCGCACGTCATCACTGGGGGAGGCACCAGAGGGCTGGGTCAGAGGGAGTAGTTGGGAAACGGGAGAGAGGAGCGCGCTATAAGAAGAGAGTGAGCGCAGCAGGAGCGTCAAAACATTTAAAGCAAGACCGAAAGGAAAACGCGCTCAGAATGAAGACTTGAATCTCGAGAGAATTTTGTTTTTGTTTGTTTGTGTTTTTCATGTAAGGACTATTTCAGGAATCTGCAACGCATTAAAAACCAGGAAAGAAAAGAAAGTGCCGTCCGGCGTCGCTCCCCGTGTGTCAGCGCGCTGAGGTATCCTGGATGAGCGCAAAGTGTCAGCTTCAGCACCCGAGCAGAGGACAGCTCCGCTCTGTCGGCTCCTTTTTGGACCTCCAGTCCAAAAACTCTCCTTCGGCTTCTGATGTCCACACTTGGAGTTTGACACTGTGCGCCCCACACGAGCCGGGAAGAAGCGTAAAAGGAAGATCCAGTGACGGAGACCGACTGTGTGCTCAATATGTACCAGGGGCATTTACAGGTAAGGAGGCAGGATGCGCACGTCTCAGTTAAGATGGGAAACGGAATGTTGCAGTTGTGATGGAACAAATGAAGATCTGGACGAGATGCGTTTGTAGTTCATGTTAAGAGCTTTTCTGTTTTTCATTGTGGGTTCAGTCATCTCGAGGCACAGCTGTGTCGATGTTGACGCCCTATTTACCTGAGACACGTCTGCTGATGCGGGCCCTTCAAGTTTTGGGGGGCATTTGCTCAAAGAGAATAATACGTGCATTTAGTGCAGCGCTCGAGTCTGCTCCAGCCTTCATTAGCTGCATAATCACCGGGGAGGGAGTGAAGGGCGCTGTGGCGCGCCGACTGCGAGTGCAGGTGCGTGCAAAGGTAAACAGGAGGCAAACCTCTGTTTAACCAGGCAGCCCGTGACATCAACAAATCAGTTTAACTTGTTTGCTGACGCTCGCGTGACGTCACGCAATTTGACGTCAATTTTCAGTCAGCTCTTAAAAAGAGGCTGAAACTCATCTGAGACGTTCAAACGAGGCGACGATGATCAGCTTTCTGACTTCAGCAGAGACCGGAGGGTCACAGTGAGCAGCTCCCAGCAGCTGCATGCGTGGCGTGGGGCACAATCACGCTGTCACATAAACAGTGACCCCCTCCTCTGCGGTTAATGTTAGCATCTGCTTTATAAACACGGAGTGAAATTTACACGCTGCTTGACAAAGACATCAGTTTCCAGACAGCTGATTATGTAACAAAGACCACGCAGTCCTGAGTCAGTTCTCGGGAGCTTTGAAGACCAACATTTAATATTTCATGAGATATTACTCAAGCAGCGGCATGAAAATGCCAACAGCTCTCGCCTGGATGCCCACGGACGTGTTTGTTATGGGAGGGTCAGCGGAAAACCTCAGAAACTGGAGAAAATCATGTGCTTTAAAGTTTTCTCTGTTACATTCATGTTTCAGTTGTCAGACACTTTCTGTGTTTTTCATCACATGCACGTCATTACACTCTGTGCCATGTTTAGATCACAGCTGTAACACAACACTGTGCTCTCTAAGCCATTATACGGGAGTTATTTAGCAGCAGTGAGTAACGGGAATATTTTTGTATAAAGGATACATTTATTTTTCCATCCCTTTCTCCTTGAAGTAAAGTGTTTGCTTCTGGGAGAGCATATGAAACCTGAGCTATCTAAATCGGTAACACTATCAGACTCTTGTCGGAGAGACACTGGAATTGATAGC